CCAAAGACTGAAATTCATGCAACTTTGCCATAACTCGAAGTTAAGTTGGACATGTTGGTTTTGTGAAAACCCTCCACTTAGTAGAGACAATTCTGGTGGCCATCCTTAAAAAAGACAGAGAAAGCTATGTAGCTAGCTACCCCGTTTGTGCTTCAGCAAAGCGGAGGCAAGGAAAAATGCCTCGCCTTTTGCAGGCGGTAGCAAGCCCTTCAGCACCCTGGAGAGAGATTTCAATGGATTTTATCATAGAACTACGGTAGACCACTGGAAATACTGTCATTTGGGTAGTGACAGATCTATTCTCCAAGCAGGTCCACTTTATACCATGCCAAAAGATCCCCACTGCTAAAGCTTTAGCCAAACTACTTGTGCAGCACATATACCAGCTGCATGGAGCCCCCCAATGCATAATATCAGATGGGGGGTCCAATTCACCTGGGAGTTCTGGAAAGCTTTTCTGGGTCTGCTAGGTACCGACCAGGGCTTGTCATCTAGTCATCATCCACAAATAAATGGGGGAACAGAACAAATGAACTCAGTACATACCTAAGATGCTTTATAAATTACAACAAGACAATTGGACTGACCTATTAACTTTTGCTGAGGTGGCCTACAACAATGCAGTGCACTCTAGTACCAGCTACACCCCATTCCAGGTGGCTACAGGACAGAGCTTCAAACCGATGCCTAAATTGCCAGCCAACGAACCAACCATCCCATCCCTGAAGGAGTGGATCATCCAACTTCAAAATACATGGTCAGTGGTTAGAAAACTGTTAGATGAGGCTAGAAAAGCTTATAAAGTACAGGCAGACAAAAAATGGGTGGAGCCAAAGCCTTTCAAAGTGGGGGACAGGCTATACTTTTCCACAAGATTCCTAAAACCCTTACAACCCTCTCAGAAGTTAGGGCCAAAATTTGTGGGATCCTTCCCCATCAAACGCATCATTAACCCAGTCACAGTAGAATTGGAGTTCCCAAAAACATTGAGACAGGTTCATCCAGTGTTTCACTGTAGCCTGCTAAAATTTGAATTAAATTCACCTTAAGACTTGCTGCACCTCCACCACCACAACCTATTATGGTGGAAGGAGAGCAACATTTTGAAATTAAAGAAATTTTAGACTCCAAGAAGCACCATGGATCAACCCAATATTAGTGGCCTGGAAAGACCTCCCAGCCTCCCAAAATGAATGGGTCCATAAAAACATGTGAGACCCCTAGGTTGCTGAAAGGATTCCATGCTTGTTACCCTGACAAACCTGACTAACTGCTCTATTTATTTTATCTCCCTGTTATTATTTTGCCTTTCTCCAGGTGGATCTCTCTTTTTTTTTAAGGAGGGGTGGCATGTCAGAACCCTTTCCCCCCCTCTTTCCCTTTTTCGGGTTCTGCCATTCTATTGGGGGGAGGCTTATAGGTATTCTGCAGTGTATTTCCTTTGCTTTGTTCTTTCCTGTTTGAAGTATCCCATCCCTTTCTTGGGATGAGAAAGGAATGTGCCTCCGGCCATCTGCCTTATCTCTGGGCGGAGGGAAGAAGCTGCGGATAGACCTGACAACCTTGAGAGCAGTGCCTTATCAGTTTGTTCCCACAACAATTTGACACCTTTGGATTGGCTCTTTTTGAACCAACCGGATGGACAGTTGGGATGGGGTTTGGAGTCCTACTTTGAATGCATGGTTTTGCGTGAGAAACCATCAGATCCTGTCTTACTTTCCTGTAGTCAGCATCCGCAATAAAAGTTCCTGTTGAAATGGTGCATGTTTCAAAAGTTCTGATTTCTTGGGAGGTTTAGCTGAGTCAGGTCATCAGTTTATGGAGGGAGGAAGCAATGGGGGTAGGAACGCAGGGAGGAAACTCAAGAGGAATCAAAACCAAGCAGTACTGTCCCATGAGAGGCACCAGCCATCTCAAGGTCACACCAAAAGGATACAGAGCTGATGAGCATGTGAAGACAGAGACCATTTTCCAAACAATTAGTTAATACCTGATTGGACATTGACTGATAACCAGGGGGCTGGCTGGGAACGAGGGAAAGCTATTGTATCTTTTATGCACGAAAATCTCAGATCCAGCTTTGCCTCTTTTGTAACTGTTTTGGCTTTAATAAAGTATACTTTTGACTAATCATGGGGCAGGATTCTTTCTTTCCTAACTGACCAAGTTGAGATAGTTGACAAGGCTGTATACTGTTACCCGGCTTTTTTAAAAGTAAAGACTACATCATGTGAAATGCTGGTCCAGATGAATCACAAGCAGGAAGTAAGATTGCTGGGAGAAATATCAACAACCTCAAATATGCAGATGATACCACTCTAATGGCAAAAAGTGATGAACTAAGGAGCCTCTTGATGAGGGTGAAAGAGGAGAGTACAAAAGTTGGCTTGAAACTCAGCATTAAAAAACTAAGATCATGGCATCTGGTCCCATCACTTCCTGGCAAATAGAAAGGAAAGAAATGGAAGCAGTAACAGATTTTATTTTCTTGGGCTCTAAGATCACTGCAGACAGCAACTGCAGCCATGAAATTTAAAAGATGCTTCTCCTTGGAAGGAAAGCTATGGCAAACCTAGACAGCATATTAAAAAACAGAGACATCACCTTGCAGACAAAGATCCATATAGCCAAAGGTATGGTTTTCCCAGTAGAAACATATATCCATAAGGAAGGCTGAAAGCCAAATAACAGATGCTTTTGAATCGTGGTGCTGCAAAAGATTCTTGAGAGTTCCTTGAACTTCAAGATCAAATCAGTCAATCCTAAAGGAAATCAACTGTTCTTTGGAAGGACAGATTCTGAAGCTAAAATACTTTAGCCACCTAATGAGAAGAGAGGATTCATTGGAAAAGACTCTGATGTTGGGAAAGATTGAAGGCAAAAGGAGAAGGGGAGAGCAGAGAATGAGATGTTTAAATAGTGTCATTGACACAATAAACGTAAGTTTGGGCAGATTCCAGGAGGCAATGGAGGATGGGGGGGGAGGGGCTGGCATGCTGTGGTCCATGGTGTTGTGAAGAGTCAGACATGACTTACCGACTGAACAACAATAACAAGTGATGACCATGCATTTGATTTAATAAAATATGATACAGGAAGATTCTTAATAATATATTTTTAAATTTTAAATTACACTTGAAATAAATATATATATATAGAACTCTCTACTATAAAAAGGTATCTTCCACGTATTTACTCTTTCCTCCCAGATAATTTCAACATGTTTCAACAGTGTATTGCTAGATATTGCAAGACTACCTTTCAGGATCACTAAGGCAGTTTGTTTTCTAAATTCATTTTCTGATATAGAAAATGGCTTTCTCCATAAAGATAGCAAAATGTTAGAGATATGAATATGGTTTCCCATGTTTTTTTAATCTAAACACTTTTTTCCTGACATGGGTAGATCTCAGGCTTTTCAATAATTGAGAAAGTAAGCTTTGCCTTAGAAAATGTAATTTTATACAAAAGTCTACAATATTTTTCTCAACTTCCTTGAGTTACTACAGTGAATATATATCTGGCATATGTATTTATACAAACATTTATATAACGTTTTTTATTGCAGGATCCAATCTGGGTCGGTTAGCAGGACCAGAGGTTTTGTTTTCTGAGCTTTTAAACTCATGCTGGAATCCTTCCTCAGGCAACTTCTCTGTGTGCTCTGGGCTGTTCTGTGTGTGATGTTTATGTGGTAGCCATTGTGTGTAGCTTTTTAGATGTAGATACCATACATAGAACAGCCCAGAGCACACAGAGAAGTTCCCTGAGGATGGACTCCAGCATGAGTCCAAAAACTCGGAAGACAAAACTTCTGGTTCTGGTGACAGACCCAGACTGGATTCTGCAACATTATCCTGGGACACATATATTTGCTTTAACTCATAACATTTCTTATGTCCTTAATATTTCCAAGGAGAGTGATGAAAAATGTTCAGCAAACGTTCACTTTTCCATAGTGAGAGGATTAAACAAAAGGTAAACAGTGAAATTATAAGCTGAGTGAGACAGTCTAAAAAACTACTTGTAATCCATATGTTATCCAGGGGAACATCATCCTGGCCTATTTAGCGCTTCATAGTATCACCCTCAGCTATATAGTTATTAACTATAACTAGTTAATAGAGTGCCTTGCCCTTTGGAATCACCTGACTAGCATAAATGAGCCTTTGCTCCACTTGTTTATTGGACCCGTGTCCTTCCTGGTTGGTCTCGCCTGCCAAGGAGGTGACACGAAGCTGGCTCCAGGTGTTGATCAACGCTTCGTTGAGGGAGGGGTCTTTTCCACAATCCCTGAAGGAGGCGGTTGTGAGGCCCCTGCTCAAGAAGCCTACCCTGGATCCGGCTGATTTAAATAACTTCCGTCCAGTCTCCAATCTCCCCTTTGTGGGGAAGGTTGTAGAGGATAGCTGTTTTTTATTTTAATCTTCTGTAGTTTTTTTAACTTGTATTTCTATATTTTTATTGCTGTAAATTGTTGTAAACTGGACTTCAGATTCTAGTAATATAGACATGTGAAAATTGAAAATTCTTAATTAATCAGCCAAAATTAGACATATCTAAGAATTCCCTTTTATACTACCCCTTTAAAACATTATAAAAAGAACTCTCTGTAAAAGATATACAGACTGGCTAAATGGATCAGAATTTATATAACATATAACAGACTGGCTAAACGGATCTGAATTTCCTAACACATAAGGTATTTCTATGAATATATACTCATGTATAGACAAATGCTTCTGCATAATACTCAGACTTTAACAGAAAGACAAACATACATATTCTGTTTACATTTTTACTGCCAGGATGTTTCCAAAACATTTTCAAGGAAAATAAAAATTTATTCTTTTTATGCACAGAAAAACATTGAAATGGAGTTGTTATCAAGTTTGCTGAAACCGTACAGCATGAAATCCATAGATTCAATCTTGGTGAACAACATATTTGAAAATCAGATATATATATATTTCTAAGAAGAAAAGTTTTTAGCACTTTACCTTAACTAATTCAAAGGGGAATCTCTCATGAAAAATGCGATTTATTCGGGCTCCACCTGAGAGTTCTAATGTATCCACTTGGTCTCCTGACCCCTCAATTCTCTTTTCAAAATCAACTGCAAACTGTTGGACCATTCTGCAGAAAGATAAATGAGGTAATGACCATTTTTTTAGGATTTGGTAAATCATGGAATTCTCCCCATGCAATTAAGAATGTTCAGAGATGCCTTTAGGTATTGAATCAACTTCTGTTGGCACCTTTCTATGGAAACGTAAATTATTGTCAGAAAGATTATTTGCCAGCTATTGGCAAATTTATCTTAATTTTAACATGAAACTCTAATTTTTTAAGTCACTATCAACTTTCTATGATACTTAATGAAAACTAATAGAACTTTATTTTGCTCATTAACCAATAAAAATACAATCACACACGTGTACACACATACCCTTTTTTTGTAATGAAACAGATATAGTTTAACCCGAGAGAGTTCAGATACCATGCAGTAAGATAGAATGTTTCTTATAAATTCTATTCTAACAAAGAGTTTCTTATTTCATCCCAAAAAAAGCTCCCAGAGAAGCTTAACTAAAAGAAAATCAACTTGGAATTAATACCAGCTATTTTATCTCTAAGCAGTCAGAAAACTTAAGGACTTCTACTATTCTAGGTTCAGTTCAGAGAATTTACAGTTTTAGAAGCATTCAAGAATCTGCAGCATCTTATAATTTTATTTATTAAATTTGTTTGCTGCCCATCTCAGGATTTAGAGGCCTATACACTAATGGTCAAAATATGAGGAATAAATAGGATGAACTTCAAATCCTAGTACATAAAGACAGGCAAGACATCATTGCCATTACCAAAACTTGGTGGAATGAAACCCATGACTGGAATGTACAGCTAGAAGAATTTAAACTATTCAAAAGGAGCAGACCTAATAAAAGAGGAGGTAGAAATCCACTATATATAAGAAATATATGCACCTCTATAGAAACACAAAAGATCAATGACAAAACCTTCATGAATGCATTTGGGTTAATGTAAAAGGAAAAAGGAATGACGTTGCCATAGGTGTATATTATAGACCACACCAACCAAATAGAGGAAATAGATGAAACTATTTGCTAATCACTTAGCTACAGTGTGCAGTATGCACACAACAATAATAACGGGGGACTTCAACTTCCCTGACATAAAGTGAGAGACAAACTCAGCACCTAGTAGATCAAACAGGTTCCTAATGAACCCAACAGATAACAGAAATGAAATGATAGAAGGGATTAAAGTTACAGGAATCTTAGGGAGGGTGATCTTGCAATATTGGAATTCAATACAGTGCAAGCTCAAACAATAGAACAAAGTCAAACTAGTCTTGGATTTTAAGAGAGCTAATTTCAGCAAACTTAGAGAGTGCTTGGGAAGCTTAGACAACTCTGAAAAGTATGATTATAAAAGCCCAGTCTAGCACACAAGCATGAAGAAGAAAAATAAGAGATCCCAAAAGAAACCAGCATGGCTGCAGAAACAACTCTCTGATAAATATGTCCCAAAGGTGCTTTTTCAGGAGGCAACTGGACTTTCTTGTTTTTCTTTGAAGACGTTTCGCTTTTCATCAAAAGCTTCTTCAGTGCAAATGGTTCCTTAGACTGCAATGTTTTCTGAAAATCCATTCATACTCCCATATCAAAAGTGAATCATTTGCGCTTCAGTTTGAGATGAAGACTATACAGACTCATCCCCAATAGCCTGCGCCTGTCTTCAACAGTGAAGGGACACAGGGCAGAAAACATCCTGCAGTCAAGAAGGCTCCTCACACATTTGCACTACTCAGGTGACTCTAAGACAGCGGTTCTCAACCTATGGGTCGCAACCCCATTTGGGGTCTATCGACCATTTCACAGGGGTCACCAAGGAAGGCTGTCCGCCATTTTTTCCCCTTTTCCAGCGGGTGCCTTACCTCCCTTGGGCTGGGCTAGCTGGTGGCCCAGCCGGTGGTCGGCCTGCTCCGTCTCTGCAGCTTGCCAGCTACGCCTCGGCTGGCGCAGAGGGCGGCACCACGCATGCGCGGCGCTCCCGGGCAGGGAAAGTCCTCGACTTACGACCGGTTGGGTAGTCCTCGACTTACGACCGGTTTAGTCCTCAACTTACGACCAGTTGGGGGTTGCGGCATTAAAAAGGTTGAGAACCACTGCCCTAAGGACACATGTAAACTGTCACGGTTCTGAAAGAAGAAGCTCCTCAAAGAACTTTGAGACATTGTTTACCTTCAAGAATCTTTAATTTGCAACATAGCTTCGGCATGTACATAGAGAAGCCAAAATCTGAATTGTCCTCCCCCAAACACACAATATCAAAACATAACTCACTCCTTCATTTAACAGTCCTTAATCACATTCTCCAATTAGTTTGAAGTGTGAACTTTCCCTCCCGTTATCTCCTCTTGCTACAACTAACCTTGAAGAATACTCTACTGAGATATTGTTATGGCTAACTAGTCCCCAGAACATTCTTCCCCCTCCCCTCCAACACCATCTCTTTTAACTCTAAAAGTAATACACAGGTTAAATAGTAAATGTCTGCATCTTTATATATTGTCAAGCAAGAACATCTGATGTTAGCAGCATTGACATAAACCTCCAAATGCCTTCAACAACTCTCTAAATCAGTGGTGGCGAACCTATGGCACAGGTGCCAGAGGTGGCTCGGAGCCCTCTCTGTGGGCACACGTGCCATTGCCTTAGCCTTGCCTCCCCCCGTGACCCCCTCCTCTCCAGCAGCCCCCCTGAAGGAGAGTCGCCCTCAAGCGTGGCCCACACAAAGCAGCGCAGCCAAGGACATGGCAGCCAGGCAGCGTAGACAAGACTCTGCCCTCACACCTCATCATGCAGTTGATGCTGCAGGGCGTGGGCAGAGGGTGTGGCTGCCATAGCACTGCTGGGCTGCCTGGGCGATCTGCGGTGGGCCCTGGAGGAAGTGAGTGGTCCTGTGGGCAGGCGGGGCAGGGTATGGGGGGGCAGAATGGGGGTGGGGCAGGGGGGTGGATCAGGGGCGGGACCAGTTTTTGGGTACTCGGTCTCTAAAAGGTTCGCCTTCACTGCTCTAAATGAATGCAAATGACCAGCTGTCTGCAAGGAACATAAATCCTTTCATTCCCCACTATCTAGTTAGAGCTGAAGAAGCTTCTTGGATGAGAAGCGAAATGTCTTCAAAGAAAAACAAGAAAGTCCAGTTGCCTCCTGAAAAAGCACCTCTGGGCCAACCATGACCTGGATGACTGAGAAACTCCACAGACATCTCTGATAAACAGAAAAACAAAAAGGGCAAATATAAAAAATGGAAAGTGGGGAACATTCCTAAAGCAGAATATCAACATATTGTATAGCCTGAACCTGCAAAGATGAAGTCAGAAAAGGCTGAAAATGAAGGTTTGCAACAAATGTCAAAAATAACAAAAAAGGTTCTTTCAACATGTAAAAAACAAGAAAAAAAATCAAGGAAATGTGTCAGTCCACTAATAGGAGAAGATGGCAAGGAAGTGACAGGCAGCAAGGAGAAAACAGGACTGCTTAACTCATTCTTTACATCTGTCTTTACACAAAAGGAAAAAACAGTCTATCAAAAATAGTACCATAAGACACAAGATTCAAATCAAATCAAAATAAGTAAGAACATTGTAAGAGAACACCTATCCATTCTAGATGAGTTCAAATCATCAGGTCCAGATGGATTACATCCCAGGGTTTTGAAGGAGCAAGTAAATGTGATCTCAGAACCAATGAACCATATCTTTCAAAGATCCTGAAGCACCAGAGATCTACCCGAAAACTGGAAAAGAGTTGACATGGTTCCCCATCTTCAAAAAAGGAAAAAAATGGATCCAGGAAACTACACACCTATCTGCCTGACATCTATACCTGGGAGGATCCTGGAAAAGATAATCAAGCAACCAATCTGCAAACATTTAGAGGCAAGAAAAATTATAACAAAAGCTAACAAGGGCTTGTCAAAAATAGATCATACCAAACAAATCTTATTGCATTTTTGACAAAATGACTAAATTAGTGGACCAGAGAAATGTGTTATACATAATTTACTTGGACTTCAATAAGGCATTTGATAAAGTAGACCACAATCTACTACTTGGCAAGATAGAAAAATCTGGGTTAGACAGTATCACTACCAGATGGATTTGAAACTGGCTGACCAACTGCACTCAACATATGTGTCATGGTTCAGACAGATGAAACTCTTCAAAAGAACGTCGAGGCATTGTTTACCTTAAAGAATCTTTTATTCAAGAAATAAAGTATCGGCACTATATAGTTGAAGCCAAAAACTAAATTCCCCTCCCCTAGGCACAAAGTAGCAAAGCGCAATTCCCTCCTCCAATTAATGGTCATAAATTATATTCCCCAATTAGCTTGAAACGCGGGCTTTCTCCACAGCTCTCCAGCCTGCCAAATTAACTCTGGGCTCAGTAACCTTGGATTCCCACAGCTGAGTTATTATTGTTATAACTAACTGAACTCTCATCCACATCCCCCCCCTCCCAGCATCAACCAGCTCTAAAAGCAAAAGAGAAAAATGACTGCATTTCCATCTGTTGTCAAAGCAATAACATCCAATGTTAGCAGTGTTGACATCCCCTCCCCCTTACAAGAAGGACAAATCCTGTAATGCAAACAAAAGCACAGGTTAGGGGTTGCCTCTTGGTTTGTTAGGGTGTTTCTTATAGATTCTATTAATGAGTCTGTCAGCTTTTACATCACTAGATTTTACCCAGGTGGCCTCAGACAACGGATATCCCTTCCATTGCACTAAATACTGCAATTTCCCTTTAAAAAACCTTGAATCAAGAATACGCTTTACTTCATAGTGAGTCTGTCCAGTCACTATGAGGGGTCCAGGTGCCTTCTTAGGGGGGAGTCTTAAGGTGAAATCTCGAAAAGGTTTCAACAGGCTACAATGGAAAACAGGGTGCACTTTCCCTAAGACCACAGGAAGTTTTAATTCTACCGTGACTGGGTTAATGATCTTTACAATGGGGAAGGGTCCTAAGTACTTTGGTCCTAACTTCTTACTAGGTAACTTAAGCCGTAAATATTTAGTCGACAGATAAACCTTTTTCCCAA